CCAGCAACTCCAGGCTGACAGGCAGGCCAGAAGATGCAAAAGGAACCTGGTTGTGTTTCAGAGAGGCACCCTCTTCCTGCCCTGAACCTGGTCACATGGTGGGTAAAAATGGTACTTCTGGGTGTCTCATGTTTTTGAAGGTGACCACAAAATCTCGGGCTTGCTAATGCAGACACGAAGTAAGTGCCTGTGCTCTCCCCCTGACACACATTACTGGAAATAAAATGATTTCTCTTAGAATCTCCCCCCGAGCTGTTTGAGGTCCCAGAGAGGCTGTTAGTGTTGTGGTTCTCAGTCCTGCTACATAGTAAAGCGAGAGTCCTCGGAGTCCTCCAGCCACATCCTGACCCAACACCTGTTCTGTTTCTCGCCTGTGAACTGCTCACAAGAGGCAGAGCCTGGTGTAAGGGTGGGATCTTACTGTGCACGGAGGGTGCTTGGGACCGCGAAGCACGAAGGAGCCCTGGGGGCGGGGGTCTGCCGAACTTACAGGTTTCAGAGTCCCGTCTTCAGGGTCAGGGTCAGTTATGGCGGCTGGGAAAAGAGGGACAGCACACACAGACGACGGGGGGAGGCGCATGTGGGGGAGCTGCTTCCGGGCCAGAGATGGAAGGTCCTGGGGTGCCTGGCGGCCGGGACCCACACATGTGGTCCCTCATGTCCCTCATGCTATGTCTTTTATGCATCCCTCTGTTTCCGCATGAACAAGAAACTGCATTTTTTTTTTTTTTTAAGTTTTATTTAAGTCGTCTGTCCGCCCAGCATGGGGCTTGAACTCACTACCCTGAGATCAAGAGTCAGTCACTTAACTGACTGAGCCACCCAGGCGCCCCATGCTATGTCTTTTATGCATCCCTCTGTTTCCGCATGAACAAGAAACTGCATTTTTTTTTTTTTTTAAGTTTTATTTAAGTCGTCTGTCCGCCCAGCATGGGGCTTGAACTCACTACCCTGAGATCAAGAGTCAGTCACTTAACTGACTGAGCCACCCAGGCGCCCCAACTAACTGCATTATTTATATTCGGTGGGTGGGGTGCTTTATAGAGTGAGAAAAATGTGTCCACAAAGTCCGGCACGCTCTGGGGGGCATCTGATACCTGGGGCTTCACCTCTCCTGCTTCCCACTAGGTTCAACGCCTTCCACCCGGACACACGCAAACCCATGCACAGGGAGTGTGGCTTCATCCGCCTCAAGCCTGACACCAACAAGGTGGCCTTCGTCAGCGCCCAGAACACAGGTACCCCCGCTTGGCGGCCGTCCCTGGCCTGCCCCTGCCCACGCACCATGCATGCCAGCAGAGGGCTGGCCAGCCGGGGAGGCGGCGTCTGCCTCCTGCTTTCAGAGTGACCTTTGGGGGTGTCCGTGGTCGTGGGCACATTTGTGGGGAGTGACTGAGTGCTTGTCAGGGTGGGAAGCGTCAGGCCTTTGGACGGACTCGGCAGGGCTGGCAGGAGGGAGCTGGTGAGAGGGCCTGACTCCCTCTTCTCCCGAGTTCTCCCAGCAACAGCTCACGACAGAGCTCTGTCTGCCGCAGCTCAGAGGTGCGGAATGTGTGCACGAGAACGGGAGGCTCGCTGTGCAGCCAGAAGCTGTCCGGAAATCCACTCTGTCCCCAGTGGGAGGCCATCCTGAGATAGTTAGCCAGGCTCATTAATTAGAAATGACTCAAAAACACACCTGCTTCACCTTTACCTTGCTCCCTGGCTCGAGTGAGTCTCACGTCCTAGAAGCTGGTGGGACAGTCAGAAACTAGCCCATCCTGGAGTGGGCCTGCCCAAGGCATTGGTGAGCCAAAAGTCGGGGGGCAGCCAGCAGCTGGGGCTGGGGGGAGGCTCCCTGTCCTGTTTGATGGGGCAGGGCTGGGGTCAGGGCACCTCCTCCCTCTCCCCCTCCCCCCACCTCCGACAGGGTGGCCCTCCATAGACCCCCTCCCCTGCCTATAAAGAGGACTTGCGAGTCTTTCCCCCTTGGTGCCTGGGAGGCTCTGGCTTCCGAGTTCAGACCTGTTGAAGCGCTGGGTGCAGAAGGTGGTGGTGGGAGCAGTGGCACCAGCAAGCTGTGGGCAGGCTGCTGAGGACTGACGGCCCCCTGCAGGCATCGTGGAGGTGGAAGAGGGCGAGGTGAATGGGCAGGAGCTGAGCATCACGTCCCACTCCATCGCCAGGATCTCCTTCGCCAAGGAGCCTCACGTGGAGCAGGTGAGTCTGCCCCTGCAGCCTTCCCTCCTTCCGCCATGCACTTGCAGTCCTCAGTGGGGCCACAGATCACCCCTTGGCCTGTCTGCACGGTCATGTGGTCGCTCCCCACACATGCTGAGGTGGGGGTGTGCCACAGCGGAATCCGGTCCCTGGCAGGTGGGCACTTAGGGGTTCTCAGGTCGGCTGCGGTTTTTCAGTCACAAACATCCTTTTACGTTTGGGCTGTCCACTTTAGCAAATGAGTCCATTATCTGTTGGGGAGATTTCTCCCATTTGAGTTGCTGGATCAGAGGACAGGTACATTTTGCATTGCTTTTCTTGACGACTGTCCCCTCCAGCTCTGCAGGGACCTACCTGCTCCTCTGCACCGTCGTCTACACGGCGTGTTCCAGACTCACTGGTCTTTTGAATCTGATCCGTGAAAGATGGTGGCTCATTTGTGTTTGAAATTGAATGGATGCAAGGGAGCATTTCCCATGCTTGTGGGCCGTTTGTGTTTCTTGCTCCGCACGGTTGATGTTCAGAGTCATTGCCTGTGTTTCTGTGGGCTGCCATCTGACTGGTTTACCGGAGCTTTCTATGTACCATGGCTGTTTGCACGGCAGATGTTTCCCCATTTGGTGGTATATGTGAGTTTGGTTTATGATGTGTTCTACTCAACAGATTGCGAGCTTTTCTGTGGTTCTCTCTGGGGGTCTTTTCCTTTATGGGGTCTGGATTTGGATTCCAGCTCTGGAAGGCGTTTCTACTCACAGGATGAAATTAGTCTTTTGTTTCCCTGCACTCTTGTAGCTTTCCCTTTTACACTTAGACCTTAGTCCCTCCCAGATTGGTTTTCACATGATGCCATGTACAGACGGGTGACCAGCAGCCCCCCAGATTTGAAATGTCATGCCTGTCTTAAGCCCATCCCCATAAATAGGGGAGGAGGGTCTGTTCCTTTTGTCTACTTCTTCACCGACAATAATTTAAAGTCGTGTAATAACTTAGGTTACCATAGCTCTATGTCCTATCTTTTTTTTTTTTTTTTAAAGATTTTATTTATTTATTTGAGAGAGAGAGAATGAGAGAGAGCACATGAGAGGGGGGAGGATCAGAGGCAGAAGCAGGCTCCCTGCCGAGCAGGGAGCCCGATGCGGGACTCGATCCAGGGACTCCAGGATCATGACCTGAGCCGCAGTCGCTTAACCAACTGAGCCACCCAGGCGCCCTCTCTATGTCCTATCTTAATATCTGGGGAAAGTTCCCGATATTCTTTACTGTACATTTTCTTGGTTAATTCTTCTGCATTCCCTCTTCTGGGCGGACCGTCCGGTGAGTTTGTCCAGGTCCACACCGTTTACGCCGGGATCACATAAACACATGGGTTAATTTGAGGACAAGGGGAGTTCTGGTCGGTAGCAGTGGACAGCAGCGTGGTGGTCTAGTTTGGGGTACTTCAGTGGGTACCAGGTTAATTCCTGTATGATGTTAATTATGCAGGCCTTGGACGTTGCGTGGCTGGGTAGTGCTGTGGTGCTTTCTGGTTTCCGAGGGTGTGTCTGGCACCTGGCTGCCGTTCCATCTCCTGGGTGTGTTGGGGGGGCTCTGGCTCTGTGCTGCTCTGCTGAACGGGACGTCCCGTCCGACAGCTGGCTCTCGGGCGCAGCCCGGATAGAGTGCTTACCCCGCAAGGTGCTCACCCGAGGCTACCAGTTTGTATCTTTGCCCCCCTCTTCTGCTTCTCAGAAACAGAGGTTCTTGATTTTATGTGTCGGGTAAGCATGTCCTATTTCTACTGTGGTAAGAATTATATTCAGGAATGGGTTTTGAGTTCCATTAAATGCTTTTGCAGCCTCTTTTGGGAGGATTCTGTTTTTTCCACTTGAAGCTGTTGATGCAGTGAATTGTATTAATAACTTCTAAGTGTTGAGGGCGTGTTTGCTTTTTGAAGATAACTCCTACTTGTCCTGATTTTGGTACCAGAGTTATTCATAGAGTGTGCTGGGCACTTTTTAGCTGTGTCTGTTCCCTGACAAGGAGGGAGCCCCATCAACATTGCCTGGTCCTCCTAGATGTCCTCAGGAAAGCATCTGGGCCCAGTGGGGGGAGTGCCCTTGCTCTCCTCCCTGCTTACCTGGCCCTCCGACCTCCCTGCATTTGCAAGGTCAAGGTTCCCAGGACCAGTGCTCTTTCATCTAGATTTTCAGAGTTTGAGGAAGAAGTAACACTCACTGCTTTCTCTGCATCTGCCATTCTGTGTCCCCTTTATATTTCTGATCTTTTGCATATGTCTGTTTTCTCTTTTTCTTGCTCATACTTGACTTTATCAGGGATTTGGGGGGGTGGATTTTGTTTGTTTATTTTTGCTAGAGAACTAAGTTTGGGCTTTATTAATTAAACACAAGAGTCCCTCTCTGTAAAAGGAGAGAGAAGGTGAGGGGAAGCCGCTGAGGGCACAGTGAGGGGAGGCACCCCCATGGGGTGGGGCCAGAGGAGGGCTCAGCTCTTCAGGGTGACATGCTGACCAACAGCTGGCTGGGTGCGACTGGGTTGGCCTTCCTGCTGGGTCAACATGCACAGAACCTGGTAGGGAGGGAGGCTGGGGCTGGAAGCATCTGTCTGTCCTCCCAGCAGCTGGTGGGCAGAATGCCTGGCTTCTGCAGATGCCCGGGAGCGGCAGGTGTTGGGAGGGGTCCTTGCTTATCTGTTGTTGAAGCCTGACCTCACCCCTTCTCTGTTGCCCTGCTCTCGGTGCTCGGTCACTGAGGACCCCACACAGCCCACAGGGTGGTGCCCTACAGCAGCCCTGAGACAGGACAGGTCCAGGCCTGTGCCCGCATTTGATGCTGAGGATCAGAGAGGCCCCTGCCTTCCAGAAACTCCCCCCATTAATGCTCGCCGCCTCCTGAGCGGCTGACTCCTGCGGCCAGAGCTGCTCTGTTGGCCAGCGTCCCGTCCTGTCCTGCTTGGCCCTCCTCTGGTGGAGTCCTGTCCAGGTCCTCTGACCACTTCCACTGTGTCTGCTGTCCTTCCTGACACTCGTTCTTCTCTGAGTTGGATGTAAGCTCCTCTCCAGCTACTGGTGTGGCCAATATCCCTTCCAGTTTGTATCTTTGCTCCCCTTTTCTGCTTCTGAGAAACAGAAGTTCTTGATTTTATGTGGTTCCGTTTCCCAGGCTCTCCTTTCTGGATTGGTTTTAGAATTTCTTACTTAAGCAGGCTTCCCTGAAAACAGGTCAAAAAATATATATTCTATATTTTTTTTCCTGGAAGCATTACAGCTTGACCTAAAACCTCCCCTTCAGGTCATTAATTCACCCAGATTTGAGTTTTGTGCAGTTGAATGCCGGCTGCCCCGGCCCCTGCTGGCAGAGCCTGCCCTCCCC